CTTTTCCAACCTAAATTATTCTATGATTATATGTGGTGATAAACTAAATTGGCCAAGTGAATGAAGTCTGTCACACAACTTGACATCCGTTAACAATTTTGGTATACCATATCTGATTGATTGTAAAACCATAGAAATATTCTAGGTGAGAGTAAGCACATTCCAGTGACAGTGTGTCAAATGAAATAGTGGAAAACCTTTTCTCCACCTGAAATCAGGGCCTCCAAACTGATTTAGATATGTGGTGGGTTGACCACACATAGCTGCACCCACACAGCTGCTCACTCATTCCTCCTCCACCCCCCCAGCAGCACAGAGAGAGAATAGGAAGAACAAAAGCAAGAAAAACTCATGGGTCAAGATAAAGACAGATTAATAAGTGAAGGAAAGAAGGGGAAAAAAACAAGTAATGCAAAAGCAATCACTTCCCACCTCACACCAGCAGACAAATGCCCAGCCAGTCTCCAAGCAACGGCCACCCTGGAACACAATTTTCATGTCCCAACCCACTTTCTTCTTCCCCTACCACTTCAGTTTTATTGCTGAGCTTGATGTTGTACGGTATGGAATATTCCTTGGGCCAGTTTGGGTCAGCTGTCCCAGCTGTGTCCACTCCCAATTTCTTACCCACCCCAATCTATTTGCTGGGGGCAGGGGGAGGCAGAGTGAGAAAAAGAGAAAGTTTTGACACTGTGCAAGTACTGTGCAGCAATAGCCAAAACACTGGTACATTATCAACACTGGTTTTGTCACAAAATCCAAAACACAGCACCATACAGGCTGCTATAAATAAACTTTAAATAAATTTTAAAATTAACTCCATCCCAGCCAGACCCAGTACGAGATGGTAGTAAGATTCTTTTCCCAGTGATTGCTGTTTCTTGTGTGTTTCAGAGACGAACACTTAACTCATTGCTGGGAAAAGTTTTCTGGTCTCTAACAAAAACAAGAAGGTTGCTAAAGGTGAAAAAAATAATAGAGCAGACATTGATACAGTGTAATCAAGGATTGATAAAAGAAGCAGGGTTTCAAATTAGCTGGAGTGGAAGGTGGAAGGAGCTGTTGCTAGACCCCTTGAGATATTGAAAGGGTAATAAAAGGGAGCAAGAAGGCGAGAAGAGACCAGGAAGTTGAAGCATGGCTAGGGTTGATGGGGAGAAGCAAGGCTTCAGGCATGGTACAGAAACATAACCAGAACACATACAAAAAGAAGGAGTATAAGGAGTTGTACAGAGTCCTGGCTGCAAAGCAAAAGAGAAAAGTGGTATGAAATATATGGGAAGAGGTGACAATAATGATACAGATCTGCTGGCATGAAGTGGCTGCAGTAGAAGAGTGTAACAAGGAACACAGAAGCATAGACTGCAACTGGAGGAATGAAGAGAGCACTGCTAATGTGTGTAAGATCGGCATGTAGGATCTAGGAAGTGTGATGATTTAATCTATTCAGACCGCTGAATTGGTGGTTTCATAAGCGTATATGTAACAGCAGGGGAAGTATATTTCATTATTTTAGCACTGGCTGTTTACTATGGTGCATTATTCAAATAGAACAGAGGAGTTACAGAGAAAAGTCATATTGGGAAGCACAGATAGACTTATTAGTGGAATTCAACTTTTAAAAAGCATGAATAATTCTTTGAGTGTAAAAATAAATTAGTAAGAACATAACTGACAATATATATGGCTCAAAGGTCCACAGAGCCACTAGTTTGTTCCCTTTCAACTTACTTACACTTCTGATCTACACAATGTCCTGTGGCATTGAAGTTCCACAGGTCAGATAGGTAGTATATTCTGGGAGGTGCAGGGACAGGGAAAGAAACTTTGCTGCCTGATAACAAGGGGTACAAAATGAAATATTCTAGTGTTGTAAACAATCTCTTTCCCCTATTCACCTCTTTCATGCTGGCCTTAATTTTTTAGGCCTCTAAAACATTCTGCTGCAGACAGCTTTGCCAAGATTATAATATTTACATTATTAGCATTTATGCTTTTAACAAGTAGCTCCACAACAGGTTGTGAAATTTTACTGTGTCTTTATGTTTAACTTCCTGGCTGTTTGGGGATTTTGTCTTCTAATTAGCGAAGTAGGTTTGGAGCCTACAATTGCAATTTCTGTTTTCCATTTTCTTTGGCATTGACATTTCTTTGTTGTGTATTTCTAAAATACAGGTGAATGTTCTTTGTGGCTCCTGCTAAAAAATTTAATATGCCTAGACTCAGTTTTTTTATTACTTAATGCTCAACCGAAAATTAGGAGCGTGGGATTATTCCAAGGTATTAGCTGCAGTAATACAAATCTCTTCAGCTAAAGCACTGTCTTAAATGGACACTGTTCTGAAAATACGCGAGGAGGTTTTTTTGCTTGCTGGATTTTTAGGTAACTTCTAGAAGTGTCTCAACTTGATTGAAAGGGTACTGCTGCCCTCTCTGACTTAAGCTCCACTACTTCAAGAACTACTTATTTTCCATTAAAATAGAAAAATCTTCAGAAGCACTTGCGGTCTTTTCAGTACGAGAAGTGCACTTGCTTTGTGCTTTTGTTGGATCATCTTTTTCCATCCATGCTCAGATATCCGCCTTCCTCTTAACTGCAGCAATTGTTTATATGGAAAGTGAGTGCTAAGACTGAGATATTTTTAGATGCCTTTAATGTAATGCAGTAGCTGTAAAAGAGGAGCTGTTCCAGATGACCATCTGGCTCTCTGCAGGGGCTTAGTAAATCACAAGTAGTTCAGCAGACCCAAGTTGAGGATCCCTGACACTCTGGTTTCCCACTTGAGACAAAGCTGCTAAAGCTGCCTCTGCCCATGTATTCTCATTCCAACTCTGCATATTGCATCATGGATAAAAACCAGCCATGTTGACACAAAAGAGGAAAAAGATGGGCTGGGATAAGGACGGGCAAAGCTGGTGGGTTGTTTAGCTCCTTTCTGAAGGGTTGGTTCCATAAGCAAGTTTCCCTGGCAAGAGAGACAGTCGTGTCAGCACGGCAAAGGGGCAGCATGCAGACAAGAAAGGGCAGGCTAGGAGGGGAAGCATGAAGGCTGCTGAAAAATAGAGAATACTTAGTTTCATATATCATCTTTGTGAAAGATAAGCACCTGACCAATTTCAGTCACAAAAAGTATATGTTGAGCCAGCAACCATGTAGGACGCATATGTATGTCTGAATTCCCGCCTCTCTTGATAGACATACTCATTTAGTAACCACTGGTCAGCTACCTTTATTTGTGATCTGGGGCTCACAGAATCACAAAATAGTTAAGTTTGGAAGGACCTCTGTAGGTCATGTTATCCAGCCCCCCAGGCAGGGTCACCTAGAGCCGATTACCCAGCACCATGGCCAGACAGCTTTTCAATATACGAAAAACATTCAAAATTTAGAATTTCTTCTTTTTGTTTTCTGGGGTTTTTTAAATATCTAAATATCTTTTTGTTGGAGTAGGTGATCATCCATTGATTGTTCAATTTGCTGCTAAAGAAGCACAAGTTTTGTGTGACGCTGCCCGTATCGTCTGTCCTTTTGCAGATGGAATAGACCTAAACTGTGGCTGTCCTCAGAGGTAAAGTTTTTAAAAAGCTGGTGAAATAATGATGAAATAATTTGAGAATAAAGAATGCTGGTCTTCATTTTCATAGTAATTTCTGTCTTAACTTTAAAATAGACTTTGAGAGAGAAACAGCTTTTTAACCTGTCAGAAATGTCTATGTGGCAAGACACTGTTCTGAATGTTCTGAGATGCCTGTCACCATGGTGAGACTGGGAAAACCAGGTGTATTTCCCAACATGCCATTTTTCTTTTCTGAGATATTGAGTGTCGGCTGAGAAGTGAAGTGTCCATCCCTTCTCAACAGCTGTTAAATATGCATTACCAAAAAGAGCTTGCTGCAAATAATTTAGAGAGTGTTTTGAGAAATGATATGGCAATTCCCAAAATGACGAGGCAAGTCCCTGACGTCTCAGACTTCTGCAAGTGAAGGATAGTCTCTAAAATATAATTATACAGATTATATTATTCAGGAAGTGCTGAAAAGAGTTTCTTCCATCTTTTATTAGGTTTATAAGTACAGTGAATTAGTGATCTACTTCTCAATTAAATTGATAAAGATTTTGTCTCGACAGTGAAATAGAGTAGTAATGCACAAAGATTCTTGCTAACTGGTTCAATTGAGAACCATTTATTACATACTTGTCAGGCAGTCTTTTTCTAAGTGAAGAGCTCAAAAATAAACGTGGGAAAGCAAAAGATAATACTACGGTGCAAATACTTAATTTGTCTATTCTAATTAGGTTGTCTTGACTTAAAATTATAGTATTTGAGAAAACTCCTTTCTGGAGAGATCTGAGACTTTGGAAGTGTATTTTTTTTTCTAAGCTAACTACAGTTAAGTATGCCAAACTGTAAGTTCCTTTTAGGCCAAAAATATATGCTTACGTTTGAATCCTTTGTTTCTTGTGCATGCTGGTTTAAAAATAACAAAACTTTGTGCACTTAATCTGCCTTTATAAGAAAAATTGTTAAAAAAAAAAACCTGCTGCTGTTAAGTGGAAGCAAAGGTTATTTCCTGCCAATCAAAATAAAGTATTTTGCAGTTGAGGGAAAACAGAATATTACTGAAATCATATCCTTACTTGCATTTCAAAAATCTTCCTTTTCAATCCAGAGTCATTTTCTGTTTGGAAGAAATCCATGACCCAATGGAAGGGGAAACATCAAACTATTTTAATTTTATGTATGATCTAAACCATTGTTGATGAAATGTTAATTTATCTTCCTTGTGAGTCCATTTTGTGGACAGAAAATTGAACTGGAAGAGATTAGTAAGTTGTCCAAAGTTCTAACAGCACAATGGAGACTGAACCAGGATCTAAAAGCTGGTGTCAAACTGCAAACGACTCATTGATCTACAGCCAGTACTATCTCTGTTTACTCAACCACACATTCTAAAGGTCATAAGGAAAGAAACTGAGGAATTTGACTGAAATTGATCTGCATTTTTTCAAATGTAGAATACAAATGTTCTCTTTCTTTTAAAGATGGGCGATGGCAGAAGGTTATGGTGCTTGCTTAATAAATAAACCAGAACTAGTTCAAGATATGGTGAGACATGTACGAAATCAGATCGACAACCCTAGATTTTCAGTATCTATTAAAATAAGGTAGGTCTAACTTAAGTGCTGTTTGTGGTACATGGGAGAATCCTTTCAGTTTTTTTTAAAGAAACGTGTTAGTGTAATAGTTAGACTATACTTTAATATATGTAATTCTGTTAATGTAATATTACACATTATAACAGTTTCCTTACCCGTGAAGACTGCTGAGACTTTTTGACCCCAGATGGTGAAAGAATATCCGGGGCAAGTAATCCCAAACTTAGATAGTAGAACCAGCAGTTACCCAGATAACATACTGGATGCTGGAGTTTTCTTGCAATCCAAACAACATGAAAGTACAAGTTAAAAGGTCTAGGGTTCCATAAAAGAAAAGCAATGCATAGTCTGTATCATCACAAGCATTTACTTTGTGAGCTGTTGGAGGCCAGAGCCATAGTTGCTGTTGGCTATAAAGGGAAGGGTAACAAAACTGGGAACTGGTCCCCACAGCTGCTGTAAGGAACACATTCTGCTTCCCTTCATCGCTTTCTAGACTTCTGTAAACCGTTGCTTTGCATTGCTTTGTACCACTTCATCTGCTATTTATCCACACATGCCATGTGGCTTAGTTAAGTTTCAACATGGTTTGCAATCCTTCAGGAAAGGGAAACTATTATAAATCAGAATTTTTTCCATAAAATATGCAAAATAATGATGTTTATTTTAGAATCTTTTGGGCATCCTTGCTCAATCTCTATAAAATTTACCATGTATATTTCAGAGATGTGATATAATTGGGAAATGCTAAATGAAATACTGGTGTCAATGCATTAAACTCACGTCTTTATTAAAAAAAAACTTTTATCTTCCAACAGTAATATTTTCTTCATTTATACTGTTATTTATACAAATCTGTGGTAACTCCTGCTTATGGAGGGGAGCTTTTTGTACAGTTCAGATAACTTACTATCTGATGTTTTCATTTCTTGGAATTTTAGGATCCATGAGGACTTAAAAAGAACAGTTGACCTGTGTCAAAAAGCTGAAGCAACTGGAGTTTCGTGGATTACAGTACACGGGAGAAGCGTAGAAGAGAGACATCAGCCTGTACATTATGATGCCATTAAAATAATTAAACAGAGCATGTCTATACCTATTGTGGCTAATGGAGACATTAAAACTTTAAAAGACACTGAAAATGTTCATCGCTTGACAGGAGCAGATGGTAAGATTAAACATACTCTATTTTCTAAGTAAACTTACGAATCAGATTTCAACGTATTTATTTTGGCTATAAGTAGGACATGATTTGAGTGCTTTTCACTCTTTGAGGAGACAAATGAAAGAGGATATTTTAGATGTCTTATAAAGTCATAAACAGAATCACTTGTAATCATGAGAGCACTAGAGCACTGTTATTCAAAGCCACAAATAATGATTTCCGAGGCAAATTACAAAAGCTCTTTGCTTAATTATGCTATCTCATCACTCAGTAGTGGAGTTCAGGGGGACCTTCAGACATTCATTCCGTCTCTTTATGGAGCTGATCATCTTTTAAAGAACTGTAAACTGCCACTTGGAAATCTCTGCTTCCTGTACACGGGAGCGGATTTCTTACAGTAAGAATATGGCAGAAAAAGGAAATATTGTTAAGCCAGATACTTGACAGTTAAGATGGTTAGCTTCAAGGACACAGTGAGGCATTGCACTCTCAGATCTGTGTGTATTTACCTTGTTTTACACTTCAATGGTAAAATTTTGGAGTAAAGGATTGCCCTGCAGTTATTTAGTCACAACAGATTCCTGCAACTGTCTGTGGTTTCAAGACAATATAGAAATTCAATATATGTTTTGAAGAGGTGATCTTTATCTACGCACTTTGGATCTTGCAGCTAGAGAATAACAGGACAGAGAACAGTAGCTAGTGTCATAAGGAAAAGTTCATGTGGCAGGTTTCTTTTGACACTATCAATGTTTAACAGCAACAACAAAAACTAACTGAAGCAAACTTCTATGCTGCTACAGTGACTTTCCCCCCAAATACAAAGCAGGAAGGAAATACATAACAGAAAAGAATGTTCTCATAGCCCAGCTGACCTTCTTCAATAGCAAAAATATAAAGCATTAGCTCTTTTCTGTCATGTACAATAGCGAAAGAAATTTGTCATATTTGATCATCGTATTTTTTAAGAGACTAAGTGTGATAGATTATATGGTGACAGCGCAGGAAAACAGAATCCCTTAATAGCAGAAAAATTACAATAGAACTTGTATGGGTTTATCTGACAATTTGGGATTATAGTTGCAAATACACTGGCTTGTTCAGAAAGATTTACTGCAGACCAAGAGCCCTGAGATTTATATAATTGAGAGATTGAGCTCTTACTGGAAGAAAGGTTCTAGGTCAGTGAATCAGCTGAGTTGCACTAAAAATGACTAAATTTAGCATATTGCTACTCTTGTGTCTTTCCATCATAATTTTATGTTAAAAAGACAGGCTTGTATATGTGTAGCAAATAAAAACAGAATACTATTGAATTGCAGTTTTAAAAGTAGGGAAGAAAGGCTTGTGTGTCCTGTGTTTCGTTTCAAAATTTCTAGAAGGGTACGTCATCAAGTTGAATGTGTTGACAGGTAGTCTGGGTACTCTGAGGTTTGGATTGTTAAATGGATTTCTCTTGTATAGCTGTAATACTCATTGCTGCTGTTCTCCCATTACTTGTCTGTGAGCTTTGGGTGGTTGTCCTAAGGGATGCTATAAAAAATCTACAGGAAGATTTAAGGTAAAATTTAAACTATAATGTAACTTACTGCCTTAATTTCCAATTTGAAGGTATAATGGTGGCTAGAGGACTCTTAGCAAATCCGGCTATGTTTGCAGGATACGAAGAGACACCTTTGAAGTGCATCCAGGACTGGGTTGACGTTGCTCTTGAGCATGGAACTCCTTTTACGTGTTTTCACCACCACTTAATGTACATGATGGAACGGATAACTTCAAAACAAGAAAAAAAAGTTTTTAATGTTTTATCAAGTACCTCAGCAGTACTAGATTATCTGAATGACCATTATGGTGTGTGCTGACTGAAAGTATTTTAGTTCTATGTAAACTTGTATTTTGCAATTGTCGATACATTGTTAAAGTTTTGATTGGATTCCTACTTTTTAGTCACATTCATATATTGCCTAAGTATTTTCAACACAGCATAACATGATCAGGGTGATACTTTATATTTTTAGTATTTTTATGTCAGCATTTTGCACTCAAGAAAATATTCCATATTCCACAAATGTGGAATTCTATTTACAATGCACTACTACACAGAGGATTGATTATTGTAAGACTCCAGTAATTTAATTTTTTTTTTCACCAGACAATTGCTTACAGCAATGTGTTTGCAAAACTAGGGCCTTTCTTATGTTAAACCCCCTAAAATCAGAGAGACTACTCATAAATAATACCAAGAAACTCAGACCAAAAGAATACAAAGGGAGTAATTATAGAAGTTTTTGCTTTAACTGACATAAGATATACTTTTAAATTTGAGTAGATACTTCAAGCTTGAAGACTGTGAGGCCTTGAAGCCCAGCATAGTACCCCCTTAAATTAAATGTTCCTTTTGCAGACTAAAACTTTCTAAACTTACTTAAAACTCAGAAAAATTTCGCGCTTTGTACAGCAAAATAAACCTGGAATAGATAAATGATGAGGGAAGGAAAGAGTAAAATGGAGAGATAGTTTAAACTAAGTACAAACTTAGTTAAATCTAAAATGCAAGACTCAAAAGTTCAATCTAACTAAATTCAGTTTTATCTACTGTATAATAATTATATAAAAGATTAAATCCCTGTCATCTACCAAAACAGAACTTTATAGGTCAAAGAAAAGCTGACAGATTCTCTCAGTGGGGCTCTTGCAGTGCTTTCTGCCTGCTGGCATGTTGCTTATCAAAGCATGACAGCCACTTGGCTTTGAATCGTTGTATAGGAGGGAAATAGTGAAAATTAGAACAAGATAATAACATTACACACCAGCTGCATTTGTTCTGCAAGGGAAATTTCACAAATCTGTGCGGTACAATTATTTGTAATCAAATAATTTGTTTTCTTTATATGTTTACACAGAAATTCATACCAGAAATTGCTTAGTTTTCTGACTCTGTTACTTCTACGAATATGCAAGTGAATAGTTCTGAATTTTCTAAATAAATTACTTGGGTTTGTATACAATTGTAATTTTTTTTATTACACTATAAACTATGACAACCTGGGGGAGGGGAGGTTGCTGGTGGTGCTACTCCCCAAATCTTTTAATTCTCACAATTTTTTTAATGCAATGGCAAAAAAGACTTGATCATTTTTCATAGTGAGTATGTCTGATTTAGGCATATGAACAGAAGTTTGAAAGGCATGCCCTGAGTCATCAAGTCTAGTTCACTATTTAAGACAGCGACTCTTCTGATATGGTCACCTTCCTGATGTGTTAACAAATGGAAAACTACAGGCATGCTTTGCTATCCTAGGCTAATTGAGACAATCTCCACAACCTTTTGTGGTGCGATAGGTTCTCCATTCCTTCGGACAACTATTTTTTTCATTCTTCTGGACTGTAATGTTTTCTTGACATTGGATGAGCACACTTATGTATAGCATTCCAGGTAAAACCCCAGCAATGTCTTCTGCAGTTAATACTTCTCTTTCTAATGCCTCACTTTTTCTCAACTAGTATTCATCATGTAATTTATGACCTCCCAGTTTTACAGCAAAAGTTCTTATTTCCCAACTGCATGACATTGTATTTTGTACTGCTGAATTCCCAGTCTCAAGTTCATCCAACTATAGTGCAATACTCAATTCTTCTCAGTTCTGAAAATGCCTCCAGCCTTCTGCATCAAAATTAAAAAGCAAAACTATGCAACTGAATTGTATACGAAAGGGATTCTTGAAAGTATTAACCAAGTCCTGTATTAGCATTTTCTTAAGATTTTTATGATTTGGCAATCAACTATTACTTGCTGTGAACTGTCCCATTAGACACAAAGAACAGAGAAAAAGTCATTTATTATAATCAAATAACACAAATGCAAGGCTTTTTTTTTTTTTTTTTTTTTTTTTTTGCAATAACGGGGAAATTGAATTTTAGAGGACTTGAAATACCTTGACCTATTTAGGAACTGAATACTTGATGATTTTGAAGGCAGCAGTTGTTGTGCCTGTGTGAGATTAATCATAGACATTTCTGCCTGAAGTACAAGACCTAGGTTGCTGTTAATGTCGCTAGTAATTAAGGAGTGCTTGATCTGGCCAATTATGCATCATAAAAGTCAACGGACGTTTATCACCCCTTTTTGAGGGTGAAATGAATTGTTATGCCTTCTTCCTTTGTGTATTTTGTATGCATCTGAACACACTTCACTGCATTGAAGTAGAATAAACTGCAAAACTGGAGTCTTAAAGCCATGCTCTGAACAGCCATACTGTTCAAATACGCATAAATTGCTAAAGATGGGAGTTAGTTATTTAACTCACAGTGTTGTCTTAGAATATGGTCATATTTCTCATTATAAGCCATTTGAATGTGGGAAAAATCTCATCTCCAGTTTAAAGCCACTAGATATTTTCCTTGTAACATCACCAGGTATTCAGTCTATTTTCTAATTTTCAAATTTTTAAAAGTTAATCTGCAAGTAACATAACATACAAAACTTTGTTTCCTATTTTAGGTCCTTTGCCTCCTGTAACTGATCCAGCTCTTTATGTTAAGCCACCCTGCACAACAATGCCATATTCTCATAATATCTGTACTTTCTTGCAACTTCTACCCTGTTGCAGTAACCCTCACACAACCTGTACAATCCCGTTTCTTCTATTCCCTACTGTTAAGTTGTTTCTTAGGTCTCTCCTCTGTCGTGGGTTGATGGTTGGGCGACAGCAGTGCGTGATGATGAGACAGCTGTCGTACAAGCCAGACTAGAACGGAACAAGTTTGAACTTTCTCTTTGCCTTCCGTTCAGCAGAGAATTAGTCAGATTTCTGTCCTCTAACCAGCTGCTAATACACAGGCATTTCATATTTCTACTGCTGAATGCTTTGTCACCTTACTGGTGGGAGAGGAAGGTATTTCTTTTAACTGTAATGTTTTAAGGTTCGGGAGTTTTTTTCCTAAAGCAGCCAGCCATTATATATATTGTATGGTGTCATATTTATTACACTATGGTTCACTGTAAGATAGGCAGCCTTAGATCAACAACAACCCAGACTTCTACAACTTCAGTTAGAATACCTTCCAGGAGTGCCAGAGTGCACTCAACAGGAGAAGGGGGGTCTCACAGATGTTTGCAGGAGGCTTCTCTCTGTTCCTCATTCCAGGTTGGTGGGGAACACGCAGCGACTGCAGTGGAAGTGCACAGCAGTCACTACAGAGTGACTCTTCCTGAGATCTTAGGAAGCCCCTAAAGTGAAAAAGCAGACTTGGAGTCTCTGGCAGCGGGGATGTGCAAATATAGCCCTATCAGTATGAGGCTAGGCTACTGGGAGGGCAGCTTACGGTACTAGTAAGAGGTGAGTAAGCAGCTCGGAAATGGAAACTGCTCTGGAATTAAAGGAGAAAAAGTCTTTAATAACATTTTAACAGCTTCAATAAAGTATAATGGCTGTAGGCAAATAGTTAAAATGTAATAACCAGGACACACTAAGAGGTAATGTTTTGTCTACGCTTCCGATTAAATATGTTTATGAAAACATGTTAGAAATACTTCTTAAAACCCAGGCTGTTTCCACTGTAGACTGGATTGAAATGGCTGATTGTGTCGCTCTCCAATATTTGTTATGCATAAACAATTATTTGGGAGGTAATCTTTCATCCAGACATTGCTTGGCAGTAGGAAAATGTTAACACACTGGCTGCATCCCCAGGCCACAGACCTGGGAAATTTTAAGCGTAAACAATTTCAGATTGTGAGCAGCTGCAAACAACTCTGCTCAAAACTGCTTATGCAAGAACTTCCTACCCCATTTCAGTTCCAATGGATTACAGTAACAAAGAACTACTATTCACAGCATTTTTTCTGTCTCATTTTGATGGAAATTAGTTGGGACAGAATTCCTAAAAGCAGGTAGCTGTTGCAAGAGGGCTGGTGATGCCGAGGTAGACAAGGTAACGTCTTCCACCAGCAGCACCTGAGGATCTGTTAGGGCTGCAGGCAAGTCAGTAAGCTGCTGAGTGGGCCCTGGCCTGAGCTAACCGCACAGGGTGCGGAAAGCTCCTGGGTGTGACATGTGAAAATGCTGATGTGACATACAACTGTGTGAGAAGCTGGCAAAAGCTGCAGATAGCACTGGGAGGGATGGCTGGATTTCACCAGTGGTTAAGGGAGAGTTATGAGAAAAACAACTGAACTACACAGATAACTGGACAGTAGTTTTGAGGGTCCTTTCGGAACCAGAAACTTGCAAGGCCAAGAGTGCCCGATAACCGAATCAGTACCTCAGTAACACCTCGTAAGGCCAAGACTGCCCAAGTAACAGTATCAGAAATACTGGATGTAGGAATAGATACAGCAAAACTGGGAACAACAGGGAAAAGTGATTAGGGGAGGGTTATGCAGGGGCAAAGAAGGGGAGTTGCAAAGGTGGCAAAAGAGATGGTCAAGAAATGGGAAAATGGGTACCAATGTATGGAAATAATGTGCTCGGAGCTTCACTATACTGGTAAAAAGCACCACACAGGACAGTAGGATAGAGTAGGATTTTCTGAAGGAATATTGTTCTATTCATGAGGTCCAAACAGGCCTATTTGACAGTGTTTGAGATGGTTGGTTGGTTGCTATTTGTGGTGTCTTTATGAATACTAGGCCTATTTTCCTTGAGAAAACAGGTTTACAGGATCTTAATACATTAAGATAGTGTGAGGCATGGGGGGATGGACGGGCTGACACAGTATTTTAATTGAACTTCAGAAACCAATTAGCGCGCTAGACAGCAGAGTTGAAGTCCCTGATCGAGTAAGCTCGAGCCATGGAGCGGTGGGATGATCACAGCAAGATTGCGCAACAACGTGAAAAAGATACTAATTTTCATCTTTCTCAACGTGTAGATCGCTGCATTTTCCAACAGAGGTGTGGCCCTTAGTAAACTCACGCCTACGTCAGATTCGGCTTTCCAGCTGCCCCACACGAACCCCCCAGCAGCCGTCGTTGCATGTC